CTGGAAGCCTGGAGTGCTAGCTGTGGCTCCCTCTCTGGAAAGCCGGAGGATGGATGCATTTTACGCTCTTCTTTTTGAGTCTGTACTAAGTTTCTATAATAAATCCACTCTTTTTTAAAAATTGCAAATGGAATGAAAGCCGTCGTTGTTTTGTTGTTAATCCTTACCGGGCATATTTTTCCCATTGATTTTCAGAGAGAGTGGAAGGGAAGGGGGGCGGGGGGGAGAGAAACATGAATGTGAGAGAGACACATGGATTGGTTGCCTCGGGCACAAGCCCCGACCAGGGCCGGGGATCAAACCCACAACCAGTCGGTACATGGGCTGACATTAACCACTGAGAACACCTTCCAGGGCTAAATTTATATTTTAATAGCCATATGGTAATTAGCACAACCCTGGGCCCTTCATCACCCAGACTCTGTCCCAACAGAGCTCAAAATTATAATTGACCCCACACACACACTTCTCCAGTCACAGGCCCTCTCCCCTTGGGCCCCCACTCGTCCAGGATTTTGCAGCTTCCTCAAAGCATCTCAATGGCGTGCAGCCTCTGAGCCTTTGCTTGCTTGTGCTATTAACACTCACCTCACCCCACCTGGTACACCTCACCCAACCCATCCTGCTCCACTATCTACCTCATTCTTTCTCTTACTCCAGATCACAGCTGTCCCCACCTCCAGGAAGCCCGCCCTGCCCCTCAAGCTGAATGAAGCATCCCCTTGGGTTCTCCCAGCCCCCGAGCTTCTCAAACCCAGAGTTGATCACTCTGGATCATCATTATCTGGAGCTCGGTCTGTCCCACACACGTGCAGACATGTGAGAGAAATATCAATGATGAGAGAGAGCCATTGATCAGCTGCCTCCCGCATGCCGCCAGCTGGAGAGTGAGCCTGCAACCCAGGCATGTGCTCTGACTGGGAATCAAACCCCCATCTCCTGGATCCTAGGTCAATGCTCAAGTGCTGAGCCATGCCAGCTGGGCAGGAGCTGTCTTAATCATCACTGTGTCCCCAGCACCGCCCAGCATGGAGCTGGGCATAGGGAGTGTGCGTTGGAATGACTGACTGACTGACTGACTGACTGACTGACTGACTGACTGACTGCTTTTGAAGAACCATGCTAAGAGCTTTAGAATGAGCCAGCCATGGGTCCAATCCCATCTCCCCCTTCTGGTAGACTTGCCACTTATTCTCAGTCTCCTCATCTCTAAAATGGGAACAGTTACTCATGGTGAGTGTTGAATGGGGTAGTATGTGCTGGGCCCAGGGGTGTGTGGGGGGCATTGCTCAACCAGAGGCCATTATAACTGTTGTTATAATTACTGTTCTTGTTACTGACAGTCACATTGTGTGGGAAAAAGAGGTTGAAGGGAGTCAAGGGAGGAGTGCTGGGAAGCCCCAGGAAGTTCCCCAATCACCCTGGGAAACTGGTTCAACCAGTGTCTGCACATTCATCCCAGGGAGCACAGGTGAAATCTCTGAGCCTGTGGAAAGGGTGCTGGGGCTCGGTTGCCTCGGCCATGTCTCGGAGGCACCCCCGGGATCCTCGCTGAGCTGGCCCACTGCAGACAGCCAGGGCCCAGCCCTCCAGCCCCCTCAGTGTCCAACAGGTAGACCCCTGGCATCTCCACAGGACGCCAAGATGGAGATTCCCTTGAGGACCCAGAGCTACTTCTCAAAGGGCCTCCTGCTCTCAGGTAAGGAGGAAATGTACCCCCAGGACCCAGGTGAGAAGGTGGGACTCAGCACAGGGTTTGAGGTTTCCCCTTTGAAGAAGGAAAACTTGTCAGGAAAGATGAAATTATTAGAGTAAGATGAAAGGGGGAGAAGCAGAGTCACAACCCCATCACCATTTTATCTATGGAATTTTCTAGAATGTTAGGACCACGAGGACAGGAATTTATCTGTGTATGTAGTTCCCTGCTATATCCCCAGTGCCCAGAAATCTTGGGAATTTTAGACATATCATATATAACTGGTATTGTAGCATAAATAATATATATGCCTATAAGTATTGGTTACAAGAGAGAATTAATGAATTCAGAGACTCCCAGTGCTTAGAAGCAGATCACACAGCATCTCAGGGTGGAAAAACCTTCTGGATCAATGGAGTGGCAAATCTGTGGCGTGCATACCTGGGTTTCCACTCCCGAACCCAGGGCAGACATCACTAATCAACCCCAGCACTGTTTCCAATGAACAGTACTCAGAGAGTGTTACCCCTAGATGAGGGCTTACAGGGCAGGGAAAGCTACTGTCCCTGCCCAACACACCTCTGATCTCAGCCCTGCCCGTAACTCCCCACAGCCACAGTCCTGGCCCTCTGGATCCCCCACAGCTCCTGGGCGGCCCTCCGCATCCAGAAGATTCCAGAGCGACCTCAACAGAACCAGGACCTCCTCCTGTCTGTCCAGGGCATCCCAGACACTTTCCAAGACTTCATCTGGTACCAGGGGGAGGAGACAGACGGTGGCACAAGGCTGTTCACCTACATCCCTGATATACAGCGGCCCCAGAGGGACGGCAGTGCCATGATGCAGCGTGACATCGTTGGCTTCCCCAACGGCTCCATGCTGCTGCGTCACGCCCAGCCCAACGACAGCGGCACCTACCAAGTAGAGGTTACCATGAACCCTGCCTGGACCCTGCGGGCCAAGACTGAGGTCCAGGTGGCGGGTGAGTGTTGGGTGCTGGGGGAGGAAGCAGGGAGGCTAAGCAGCAGCTACCACGTGCTGGGCCCTATGCAAACACTTCCTCTGTTCAACACGCATCGATTAAGTGCTTACTGTGTGCCAGGCCCTGAAGATATTTACTCCCCACATGCTTTAGCTAATAAAATATCTGTTGAGTGACAAACACAGAGCCAGGCCTGGAGAATGGACCATCTCATTTACTCCTCACATGCATTCATTAATGAAATAGTTATTGAGCACCTAGCGTATGCCTGATCCGAAGGGATACACTATATCACCCAATCTTTATGTTCATACGCCAAGTGGTTTTTGATGAATCCACTCTGGACACAGCGCTAGAGACAGGATAATGGACAGCAGCAGCAGCTAACATTTCTTGGACACTAGTTATGGGCCAGGTACTGTTGTAAATATGCCTAGAGCATAGCTTCTCAACCTGGGCACTGTTGACATTTTGAACTGGTTAATTCTTTTTTTTTTTTTAATCCTCACTTGAGGATATTTTTTCCATTGCTTTTCAGAAAGAGTGGAAGGGAGGGAGAGAGAGAGGGAGAGAAACATCCATGTGAGAGAGACACATCAATTGGTTGCCTACTGCATGCACCCTGACCTGGGCTGGGGATCGATCCTGCAACCAAGGTACATGCCCTTGACTGGAATTGAACCTGGGACCCTTCAGTCCACCGGCCAATGCTCTAACCACTGAGCAAAACTGTCTAGGGCTGAACTGGTTAATTCTTTATAGCAGGGGGCTGTCCTGTGCACTGTGGGACATTGAGCAGCATCCCTGGCCTCTCCCCACTAGATGCCAGTGGCCGCCTTCCAGTAGCCACAACCAAAAATGTCTCCAGCCCTAGACAGTTTTGCTCAGTGGTTAGAGCATGTGGACAAAGTACTCAGCAAAACTGTGCCTGCCTGCCTGCCTGCGGGGCACTGGGAAACCGTATTCGTTCATTCATTAATTCAACAAACATCCAATGAGCACCTGCTGTGTGAGAGGCAGTTTCTAGAAGGGACAGGACAGAGACTCGACCCTTCTGCTGGATAGAATAGCAAGGTCCTGTCACAGGAGCGCATACCGCTGCCATCAGCTTTGGGAACTGCAGTGATTCACAGGCTTCCTATTTACATGCTCGCTGTTCATAATCAAAGGCAGAAAATACAACGAGTTATAAAAAGAGGGCGCTTCGTCATGTGAACCAGGAAGGGTTTTTATTGCAGCGGCGGAAACTGCTTCTGGCTGATTTAAGCAGCAAAGGAACAGATGGAAAAGATGCTGAGTCCTCACCCGCAGTCCCTCGGCATGGGACCTTATTTGGAAATCGAGTCTTTACAGAGGTCATCAAGTCCTAATGAGGTCACTAGAGTGGGCCCTGAGCCAATATGACTGGTGACCTTATAAAATGGGGAAACGTGGACACAGAAATTCGTATGTGAAATTGCCCGGGGTTTCTATGTCGGAAGCAAGGCGACGCGTTGTTCGGCGTATTTAAATGAGCTGCTCACGCATGAGGCTGGAAAATGTCTTTATTTGGGGCAGGCCTCTGCCCAGCTAAAACTCAGGCTCTCTTTCCAAGAAACAAGGCGGCGTGGATAACGCTTTCCTGGCAGCAAAGCGGCTCCCGCGTCCCCAGGCCTCACAACTCGACCGCTTCCAGAGCGAGGGATGTCTTCCTCCCAGGCCCAACTACAGCCCTTCACTTCACTCTGGTTGGACAAGCCTGAACCAATCACTAAGGCCAAGAGAATGACGAGTTCCGATTGGCTTACATCTGCCCGGCTGCCCATCCTGATCCAATCACTGCGACAGGGGCGGGACTAGCCTGATTGGAATAAGCCAACGGGGCCCCACGCAGAACTGGGGGTGGGCTCGATCCCTCCGGAAAGGAGGCTTCGCGGGG